CCAAGAACGTACGATTTGGTAAAAAAACGAGAGAGATATGAATTAAAATGTAAATTACTTTTGGGAATAATAGATGTACCAGACTTATTTTATAGAAGCACCAATTCCTAACGGAATTTAACGTTCTTGGGCTCGTTTTGAAGCTATTAGAGATGTTAATACATTTACCGATTCATAATTTTAAAATATTGGCCTAAAGACCGGTCATAAACCGGTTAAAACTGATGCAGACCGAAACCGGTCTATAGACCGCAAAAAACCGCAGTCTGCGGTCTTTTTGCGGTCCGGTCTGGTCTTTTGACTTCTGGGGGAAAGGCAGACCGGTTACGGTTACAGTTAACGCCCCTGGGCATCAAAAAACCGGACCGAACCGGACTTTCAAACACTAGTTTGACACCCCAATGGAGCCACAAATGAGTAGACAAGGTGTGAGTAGCTAAATGAAAAGCTTTCATTTCTTAACTACAAGGTGAGTGTTTCCCTGTTGGGACAAAATTCAGTTTTTGGTTGATATGGAGACTATCTTGCAGGAGTTGGATGAGATAAAGATTAAGATACATTATGCTACAGATCTAGTGATGCCGCGTTTTTTAGCCGGTAAATTCTTGTTTCGCTTATAGAGAGCGTAATTATTATTTGAACTTTACGTTCTTGGACTCTCCAGATAGATAGGAAGTAGATCTAAATTATAAAAAAAAGAACGTAAAAAAGCATTACGTTTTCGTTGAGCTATTTACGTTTAGCTGGTCGCCAAGTCGCAGCTCAAATGAGCCGGCTTTTTTTCAAAGCCGGTTGAATCTCTCAATCAAATCTCGGTCGTTTTTGGCGATCTTTTTTTTTAAATTTAGGTCTACTTCTCATCTACATGGGAGATCTAAGAACGTAAAATTCGAGTGAAAACTCCGCTCTGTATAAAAGAAACAAAAAATAAGCCGTTAAAAAAACGCGGCAACACTAACGGAGGATGCACATCCATAAGCGCGTTGCGCCAGCGCACAAGAATTTCACACACAGTGTCAGCTGCGATGATTGTACCGCTCATACCAACGTTCCGAGCAGCCTGAAGGACATGGAGTCCACTCATACTGGATGAGGGCAGAGGAGTCCAGATGGTGTGAAGGGAAGGAGGGCGAGGGAAAGCGGCAATGACAACTCTATGAAGACCCCCAATCCTCCCACGTGGTTAAGGCTGTATGTTGTAGCGCCCTACTCTGCTCGTGTGTTGCATTGGCAGGAACAATGACCAACTTACCCATGTGTTGGCGCTCTGCGGTTGGAACAAGGAGGTTGATCGTGGAGCTGCAGGCAGCTCCATCTGGATGGTGAACTGCTTCTACCGTTTAGCCACCTTCAATTTCACGTCGATTGCAGGCTTAACCACGGAAACGGTCGGTCAATAAGATTTTGGCTCGTCTTCTATTTCTTTCCGAGACTCACGAATAACGTAGGTCATCGAACGACAGAATGCCGTCTTGAAATATAGGCCTTGGATTCTCAGAGAGATTGTCAGTCAGGGTTGGATTCGACGTCCTCAACGGATTACCACAGACGGGCCTTGGATCATCGGAAACTGTAATGACATCATTGTTGACATGTTGACAAGCATGGTTACATCAATT